CCTAAGTCTTTCATTTCAAAGTGATCCTGCAACTGAGTTTTCAATAGGCTAATGCCAATAGTATCATCCCCTAATATGATTATATCATTAGCATAAAGTAGGAGAACAATAAAACTAGAGGAAGTGGACCGTAGAAAAAGAGCAGAGTCGTGATCACTAACATGAAAACCCAAGTCACAAATGATTGAAGAGAACTTGACAAACCATGCTCTAAAAGCCTATTTAATCCAAACATTCCTTGTAGAGTCTGCATACTTGACTAAGACTATGAGACAACCCAGGTGGAGGAGTCATAAAAACATCATCTGATAAGTCTCCATGAAGCAAAGTATTTTTTACATCAAGTTGATACAAATGCCATTGACAAATTGCAGATATACCAATCACAATACGAACAGTGATCACCTTGACAACAAGGGCAAAAGTCACATCGTAGTCTAACCTATATTCTTGAGCAAATCCCTTAGCTACTAACCGAGCCTTGTATCTATTCACAGTACATCTAATATGATTTTAATCTTATAAACCCACTTACAACCAATAGTACGTTTGCCCGAAGGTAAAGGAACTAATTCCAAAGCTCAAGTCTTATGTAATGCAGACAGCTCCTCATCCATAGCCTGTTCTCAAACAGGATCAAGTATAGCCTCTTTATAAGAGGTAGGCAATGTAAGTGAGAAATACATAAAAATCAAAAGAATAACAAGAGTTGGAGAAACCCAACCAATTTGGACATTTCTGAAAACGCCGAGGATAGCGCAATGCATGATCCACAATATCAAAACTTGATTGAGTGCCAGAAGTAGAAGAGAGAGGCAATATATTGGTAGAAGAGACAACAGGAGTCTTGCGAACATAAATATGCACAATAAGGGACGCATAATAGACAAATCATCATTAGAAGAAGATGGCAAATCAGACACAGTTAGAACCATTAGCAGGGAAAGGATCAATACATATGAGATTAGATTTATGCACAAATGAAGTACAAGAGGGATCGAAAAGAATGGAATATGTTCCATAAAAAGACAACATGACGAGATACATAAAGTTTGTGACTAACAAGATCATAGCAACGATACCCTTTTTTACCCTCATAACCAAAAAAGACACATAGGCTAATCGAGCAGAAAACTTGGTATGTAGAATACTGGGGAGTAAGACAAAACAAGTACAACCAAAGACACGTAAGGAGAAGTAATCAGGGGCTTACCATACAACTTTTTAAATATAGAAACACCAGAAGTAAGAATAGTGGGAATGCAATTAATCAAACGAACTACAATAAGAACTGCTTCCCCCCAAAAAGAACTTTGGGACATTTGTCGACGACAAGAGAGAACGTGTTGTCTCCATAATATGTCAGTGTTTGTGCTCTGCTACACCGTTCTGTTCAGGAGTGTCAGTACAAGAAGATTGACAAACAATACCATCAGATTTTAACAGATGACGAAAGGAATTGAAATAATATTTTCCTCCTCGGTCACTTCGAAAATATTTAATAACATGAATGTTGAGAACATATCATAGCACAAAATAGAGTGAATGCAACAAAGAATCCAGAACGACGCTTCATTAAATAGACCCACCAATACCTAATATAGTCACCAATGAAAGAAATATAATATCTGGACCCTCCTTTAGTGGTAATCGAAGAAGATCCCTATACATCTGAATGGACCAAATTAAAAGGTGCAATAGAGCTAGTGGAACTTTTCTTAAAAGGTAATATAGTGAATTTAGCTAATTTGCACCCATTACAGCTGAAAATTTATAACACTCTAAGTTACTCAAACTACCAGTAGAGGCTACAAATTTCAGACGTGAATAAGAAACATAACCAAGACAAGAATGCCACAAATAAAAGCTAGAAGATTATGGACTCAAATGAAAAGAAGACAAATCAATAGAAGAAACAACAATATATGGAATATGCAACTCGTTCAACACAAACAACCCACCCTTTCAATTGCCTGCCCCAATCAACTTCTTGGAACGTGGATTCTACACTATACAACCAAAGGAAGAAAAATGAACTAAAAATCTAGAGTCAAATAATTGACCAACTGAAATCAAATTCAAGGTAAACTATGGAATATAATAAACACCAAGAAGTGTTAGTTACGACGAAACAATAGACCCAACACTGGTCAAGGTCATTTCAGTACCATTAGCTGTAAGCACAAATATAGATGGAAGAGAGAAAGTAGATACAAATAAGGAAGAATCACTTGTCAAGTGATGTGTAGCAATGAAATCAAAGACCCAAACGGTTCGAATTATATTTGAAGGACCCGAAGTGAACAAACCTATGAAATGTGAGACTGAGAAAGTATTAGGTTGCTGAAGAAGCTTCTGCATCTGATCAACAATCATAGCTCGAAGAAAATATATGTTTTCATTAGCCATAATTGCAATTAACCCAAATCTATAGCCTAAAGCTCCAAAACCAAATGTAAGGATATCCACAAGCGAAGACCACTCCACACCAGCAACCAAGGCAACTACCAACCAAACAATAGTGAACCTAATATTCAGTTGGCCAAATGACACCCAAATGTGATCAAAAATCTATTAGATACAAATTAGATGCAAAGCCTAGACTATGAGTATTCTCAAAAGCCCATTAATCAAAATTCATACACAGCCCAGATTACCAAACCTATCAAACCAGAAGCAAAATAACAAGGCAATAATTTTACAACGAAGAAATAAAGCAAACCAGCAACAAAAATCCAGAAAACCTGCAACAAGGAACGAAATTTGTAGTCCAACAAAACAACGGCAAAGTTCGAGACCACAGAGCATACAACATTCAAATTACTTGAGGCCAAACAACCCAAAGTTCGTTATAAATCAACTCAACAATTTTGCAAATCAAATACCCATAACCAATTAAGGTTTCTTACACAGCAATACTGCAAAAATGGCACTAAATATCAAAATTCGAGCATGCACAGTAACTTCGGTACTATTAATAGAGCGTAAACAATAATTTCGGCATTGTTAAGAGCCCTCGAAACCATAAAAAGTCAACAACCCATCAACTATTAGCCCTCAAATTAGACCTAGCACCAAAAACCATTAGTCACACTCCTTAGGCTTGATTTGAAGTAAAGAAGTCGAAGAAAATGGCCAAAAAAAATCGTCATAGATGATATCAACCCTAATCGAACATATTCTTTCTCTAACTAAGGATGCGTTTGACAACATTTTTGTTTTGTATTCTTTTTTTATAAAAAAAAATAAAACTAATTTTTTTTTTGATAAAAATTAAAAAAATATAAAACATGTTTGATAGTCATTGATATTTAAAAAATTATGAAAATAAAAATAAAAAATATGTTTGGTATTTTACCCAAAATCTACCACTCAACACCACTTAAATCCACCACCAACAACCAGCTAACCCCACCACAAACCCAACCCCCAAATCCCTGGTAATCCACTACCCAACATACCGAAAACCCACCCCCACCAACAACCCAACACCACCGAAACCCCCCCCCCCAAAAAAAAAAACCCATCAAAAACCCACCCTTAACACCCCCTAGAACCCCCACCCCAAACCCCCAAAACCCACTCCCAACACCCCCCTAAAACCCACCCCAAACTCCCGAAAACCCACTCCCAACAGCCCCAAAAACCCACCCCCAACAGTCCCAAAAATCCACCCCCAACAACCCCAAAAACCCACGACCAACAACCCCAGAAACCCACCCCCAACCCCCTGAAACCCACTAAAAAACCCCCACCATCCCCACCAAAAACCACAAGAACAATTACAAGAGAGAGAAACAGGAGGCAAGAGCTGGAGAGGCACAGAGACGAGAAAAGGGAAATGAGAAATCAAGAGCTTTTATATTCAAGTAAAAAAATTATTTGTTTGCTGTTAACAGGACTCGAAAGTTAGACCTCATTAAATTGTGTTTCCAGTCTCCTATTTCATTTTTTGGATGTTTTCAAAAATATCTTTTTAGATGCTTTCATAGTTTGGCCTTGTTTTCAAAACGGAGTATTAAAAAAAAATTAAAAATAACCCCAAGCGTCTTTTTGTTTTTTTTTTTTGCCATAAAATGAAAACAAAAACAAAAACAACTTGTTACCAAACACTACCTAAATTATTGTGATGCTACAATATGTTTTAGATCGAAATCATACTCTGATACTGGTCAAATAAAAAAGAGCAAAAGGAGAAGGAGAAAATATTATTATTGCTAACAACTAAACCTAAAATACAAAAAATGCCCTTATATAATAGGGTAACAAAGAATAAAGTAAATGCCCAAACCACCCTTAATATTAATACTCTAACGCAACCCCATATTTGTATACTCATTTTTGGCCAAATACACACCCGTAAGGAGCCCCAAAATACCCTTGTTTCCACAGCCCAAAATCAAATTGTGTCCCATCATTTGTATGAGACTGTTCTCGCACTGGTCCTACATCAATATAGCCATGGTGTTAAGAGGAAGGATGTTTGGAATTGAAGAGGAGAAAATCTCACAGATAACTCAAAGTCTGGTTATGATTTGGGATTTTTTAGTGGACAGGCTTAATTAGTTTATGCTACTAAGGTCTAGTTGCTGCTTGTTTTTGTTTTGCTTACTGCTCATAGTTTGCCTATGTATGTTGTCAATATAAGAAGTATGCCTCTTGGGTAAGGAACTAAATTTCATTTTGAAATGGTCAAATTATCCGAACCATTTTCATTACCATGGAAACCAAAATGAATGCATGATTGAATATTGAAATTCGTATGTTTTGAGGTGTTTCGGCACGTTTCAACATGTTTTGGCACGTTAGGGAACTAGTGATAGTGCTTCTTTAAAATATGTGTAAAAAAGTGGTATGACGGGTCAAAAAGACCAATTTTTCATCATGTCTTGCATGGAAGTAAGCAGAAACCCAAGTTTATCTGCCACCGAAGTGAGATTCTCAACAACTAGCAAAGTTAATAAAACAAGACAGGATACATTGGTCAGCCTTTGTAATCTTTAATCCACTTTATGTGGTAGGCAATGACTTACTATCTGCTTGACAAATCCTGAAGAGCACCCTTTAAACAGAGGAACCTTTCTAACACATCGCTCATATAACTTCTGCAAAATCTGCAAAGAAGAAACAGTTAAATGTGGCATACGTCATCCAAAACGTGTGCTTGCTTCTTGTAAGAAAGGAAATCTCAGAAATAAAAGCCTCCAGAAAATGAGACAATTATTGAAATAAGCAAAGATGAAATTACATCAAGCATCATATCAAGGTTAGTCATTTAATAAATGAGATGCGCTAGGTCTTCTGATACCTTAGCTCGAATAGACTCTGGAATATCCTGAAGAACAGCAGCCTCAGTGTAACTGCGGCTCTCATAATGCAATCGCACATGATCTGTGATCTCATTACTTAAGTGCTTGCCAAGTTTGTTTCTATTCATATATTTGAGAAGATCTGCCATTTTGTCCCTGAACCTTTCTGTTTTCGATCCTTTTACAGTCAATGCTGCCATGTTACCGAGAAGATAAGCACCGAGAATCATATCAAAAGAGACATAGATCATAATGAATATCATTTCCCTGGTATTGACGGCATGTATCTCCCCGTAACCTGTAGCATCAAGCAAAAAATGACTGCACATGATAAGCAATTCAATGCTGAAGCACCATAAACAACCCCGTTAGAAATAGCAGAACTTCAGGCAAAAAGCTTCATGCACAAATGCAAAACAATAATACCAATGACCCATAAACACAAAAAAATGTGAGCTGAAATTGTGAGACGCCCCAGGTCTCGGGACAAGATATATGCCCATCTCTGAGATATGTGTCAAATAGGCATGTCGAAGACAGGAGGAAAAGAACTCATCTCACTCCTTGTATATGTTCCTTTTGTGTCAAAATAAATGGAGAAACCTATGTTGCAAAATATGTTACAGTGCATGTACAAAGATCTATTAGACACTTCAACATATTATTATTGTGCAAAATATGCCATATCAACGCTTCTCTTTTCTTGGAGCATAAGTGAAGATCTACTGGATATTTAGATAATTCAGTCAGTTCCCAGGGATGAAAGTCTGAAACCTAGACCTCCGTCAAGTTAATATTTGGTTGATTGGTTAGGTATAAGTTCACCAAATCACAAGGCTTCTAATTCTGCGGCACCCAATTCTACCATTGCAGGTGGAAATCAAGAACCTAACATTGACGACATCGCCACTGAAGCAGTGGGCCAACATGGCCCATTCAGGAAAAAAAATGGCAAGAATAGGGCCTCAAAAGTTTGGAAAGAATTGGAGACTGTATTTGAGGACGGAAAGACAAATGGCAAATGCAATTATTGTAACACACTTCTGTCTATGGGGGCTAGGGTCCAACAACTCATCTAAAAAGGCACTTGGACACTTGCACAATTAGTCTGGCTTCTATTTCTAGCCAACACAAAGGACCGACACAGAAATTATTGGCTCTGCAGTCAATTGGTTCCAATGGCGAGGTTGGTGGTGGGTTGGCAGCTTACAAGTTTTACAAGGAGAAGGGAAGAGAAATTTTAGCAAAAATGGTGGCATGAGTATCCTTTTAGGATGGTTGAACATGAACTTTTCGTGATGTTTCTCAAAGTGCTTAACCCGCGTTTTGAGCCATTAAAACGGCACACCCTAAAAATTGATTGCATGAAAATAAATGAGATTGAGAAAAAGAAGTTGAAGTCGATATTCTTTAGTCTTGAACGAATTAGCTTGATAATGGACTTACGGACCTCCAATCAAACAATCAGGTACATGTGCCTTACCGCACACTTTTTAGATTCGGATTGGAAGTTGCAAAAGCGCATCTCAAATTTTTGTTGTTTGGAACTTCCACACATAGGGTTTGTGATTGCAGATAGTATCTACAAGTTCCAGCTTAGATTGGGGAATTGAAGATAAAATGTCTACAATTACCTTAGATAACACATCCGCAAATGATGCAACAGTTTGGAATTTGAAAGATAATTTTTCTATCAAAAAAAAGCTTTATTTCAATGGTACAATATTTCATGTTCGGTGTTGTGCACATGTTTTGAAACTTATGGTACAAGATGGGTTGGGTGAGATAAGAGATCGAATTGAAAACATACATGAGAGTGTGTAAGTACTTAAAGATGTCCCTAGTTTGATCATATTTTGTAATTTGCTAATTTCGTAAAGTTTATGCAAATCTCAACCTATTCAATAGTCATGTTGCTACAATGATGAAGATCAAAAGCGTCAATGGAGGGGAGGAGATCATGCTTTAAGCTACATTAAAAGAACTTTTCGTGTGCGTCTTCTTGGTTAAGATAAAGATAATGATCTTAGAGACCTAAGAACTATTGGTTTAATTTATTAGACTTAGCATGATTAGAGTTAAAATGTAATCAGTGTTAATCCGTGAAGGGCACCTAGGTGATTTTAAAAAAAAAAAAAGTTTTTCTAGACCTCTTTATTTTTTGAAAATATAGTTTGAGTCATTATCGAACATCAATCATGAAAACTTAGATTAAAAGAAGGAATTCATATGTAGAAAAGGAAGAGAGAAGAAATCTAATATTCCATAATCACAATAACTAGTTACAATAGGCACTATATATAAAACCCTACTACAAGAGAAAACATGACTGCCACACCCATTTATGGTAGAGATTCATCTACCCAGCAATCATCCAATGAAAAAGTAATGATTTGTAGGAGATAGATCTGGCAAAACCACCCAAGAATGTCTCTCCCACACAAGAATCAAAATATCGTTTCGAAACGGTCGAAACGTTTCCGTTTTCAAGGAGACCAAAACGAAATAGTAATAGAATCGAAATTCTAATATTTCGAGATATTCCATAATTTTTTGAGATATATTATAATATTTTAATGCATTTGCACAACTATTTTAAAATGTTTCAAGGTATTTCAGGATATTTTGATATATTTCTATCAATGTTTTAGAAAAATAATTCTTAAATTTTTTATTTTTTTTATTATGTTTCCGAAACGGATCGAAATATTTGCGAAGTACGTCAAAACGTTTTCTTTTCCTAGGTGACTGAAACAATATACCGAAACGAAATTTCGATCCTTGCTACCACAAATCATCTAATGGAAAAGTAATGATTTGAAGGAGATAGATATGGCAAAACCACCCAAGAATCATAAACTCAGCTGAAAGACACAAAAACATTACAGAGAATACGAATTCGCCATAGACTAGAAAGGCCCAACAGAAAACGAAAATTTGGCAGAGAGAAAGATGTCTTTTGTAGTGGGTAGAGCAATTTGCCTTGTGTTAAGAGGAGAGGACAAGTTGTCCTCCAAAAAATTGTTTCCCTTTTTTTTTTTTTTGAATAAGTCTAAAAGTTGTTTCCTCATTTTGTCATTTTACAATAAAAGCATTATCTACAAATTAATTTTTATTTAATTTTCTATTGGAACTTAATTGTATACCACTAAAAATATTTATTGTCTGATGTGAAAGTTAAAATGTGTATACATTTAATTTTGAAGGAAGTGTGAACTGGAAAAAAAAAATTCACGTCTTTGATTTTCATTCCTGTTACGTAACGTCCTCTTCACCACACGTCCGTTACACCGTTACCGTTATATCAGTAGTTACCGTTATTCAGGGCCATGGTCTTGAGTGCTTTTGAAGGTCATCGACAAACTCAAGACTGAATCAGATTGATGAAGAGCCAATTCATCACTAGATGAACTGGTAGAGCAAGATAGGTAAAAACAGTCAATGGATTCCAGAGGAGTAAAAAAGTCTGGATGAAGGTCATGGAGGTCACTTGTGGCTGGGATTGTTCAATAATACTTAAGGGATAAAATAATCAAAATAACCTAAACAATGTTTTTAACATTACTTATATCCGTGGGTCCCACAAAAATGAAAAATTACTTACCAAACATCGAATAGGACATTATATATCATTGTATCCAAACCAATGCAAGTGAATGGTTGGATAGGAATGGATATAAATTTGATATCCTATCCAATCCTTTCCGAGCATCCAAACACACCCATAGATGCATTGAACCAATCCCTAGCCTCCCCATTCACCAATACTGAAAAAGTCAAAGAAGAAAAACTGGCCCTTATCCACCTTTCCCCAAAACCCTTGTTTTTTAATACATCCACAAAATTTCAATTTACCCAATCATATGCCTTTTCAAAATCCAGCCTAAATATAACTAACTCCTTTCTTCCTTTTTCTCATAACATCGTCCACCACCTCAATTGCCACTAAAGCTACATCTAGTATCTATCTTTCTTGAACGAAAACACTCTAAGCCATGGTTATTGAATCTCCCAAAACATCACAAAGTCTTCTAGAGAACACTTTAGCGATAATTTTATACAAATTAGTCACCAAACTAACAGGTTTTAAATCCTTAACTTCAATTGAACGATCTTTTTTGGGAACCAACGTGATAAAAGTAGAATTAACACTTCTCTCCACAACCCCATTAGCAAAAAAATCATTGAATACACGCATCAAATCACCCTTAATAGTTTCCTAACTATCCTGATAGAAAGTCATAATGAAACTATCTCGACGTAGGGCTTTTTCCTTATCCATATCAATAGATTTGTTTAATATATCTTATACTATATATTATATTGCAATATACAATAGGTTTATTTACATGGATATTATTTACTTTTAACTATATATCTATTAATCATCATTATTTAATTTATTGCATGATATTGTACATTTTTTTGATAAAATAAGAATTTTATTATGATTGAGAAGAGATGAAAAATTTGCAATATGGAGTACAAGATATCCTCATAAAGTAAAAAACAAAAAGACCAGAAAAAAACAGAAACATTAAACCAAAGTTGCCTTCCAATCCCTTTGAAGAACGGCCAAAGGCAAACATCTGAACTTCCCAGCAGAATTAGACCATACAGAGGCGTTAAATACAATAAAAAAAATAAAAAATATATGTATTTATTCACATATCAAGTCGTATTCATATCCTATTTTATTTAGACTATGTTGTATCACTGTAACTGTATCCGCATTCATGTTTCCTAGTGAACAAGAAATCCGCAAACAGAAAAACAACAAGGAAATTAAAAGGCAGTACAAAGTGAAACCATTAATGGTAATCATCTAACTACATGCCACAAAATCCCTACTAAGGGAAAAGAATGGCATGTCGCCACGTCCTTAAATTCTTTCGATACCACCACCATAGGGAGGCCAAGATATCAGAGGTTAAAACTAACAGGATTATCAAGGAAGCTAGAATCAAAAACTTCCAATATCTATGTACAGTAAAATCGAGAACCTAGAACTGAAACCTGTGGGTATATAATTCAAATAACAGCAAATATTCAACTCACAAAATCAATAGAAGATGAAAAACCAAGCAAGCTCCCAGACATAAAACGAAAAACTTCAGAAATACTATTCATCTGAATACAAACTAATCATCTCATCAAAGTGATGCAGTATAAAGGAAATTAATGCATAAGCAAATAAGAAGCTTACCAACAGTTGCCATGGTAACAATGGCAAAATACAGAGATGTTATGTAACGTGTCCAGAGATCAATTTCTCTAAAATGTGAGTAACTGTAGTCACCCATCTTTAAACTTCCTATCCATGTATAGCCTTCCTTTGATGGAGGCAGAGTGGTAGCGAGGTAGTAAAAGATGCAGGCTGCTGTGTGTGTGCAATAGAGTTCGACAACAAAAAGTTTTACAATCCTGGTCAACATGTAGTTGATGCGAATGTTTTTTTCCAACTTCTCAAAAAATTCTGTCACTCTGAGTGCCCGACTGAGTCTAATCCATAGCAGGTACCTCACTGGTTCTTTTCTGCCACTTGCCTGATCAGAGCAGATATCTCAGTCATAATGAACGAGCTAAACAACAGATGCAAAAAAAAAAGTTGCACATTCTTGGTGCTAGATGAAAATGACTAATAAGCTGCCATCCATGGCTGAAAGATCAAAGAACACTATCAGAATTGTTTAGAAAGAACAGATATGATTATAGTAAAAATACATAAGGTGTATAGTAACATCTCGTCCCGATAATAGAACAAATAATTAAATGTATAGAATCAAAAATATAATTAAAATAACAATTTGACATATCATTGGGCAACATTTTCATTTTAAATGTTTTGTTCAGTTTAATATGGGCTATAATTAAGAATATATTTACATCTACTTATATCCTTATATGCATATATTTTAGAGCAATCAAATAGTACTCTTTTAGCACTATTTTAGAGCATTCAAATAGTAACTTAATCATCTCTAAAAGCAAATTGGATTCAAGACTAGTAGCTACTTCCTCCATTTCATTCGGCACTACAGCCAAAAAAACAATAGGATATTCACTTTTTACCTTAACCTCTGGACAATTATTTAGCGAAGTGGCCTGAGATTGTATAAGCTCATCTACTTTATCCCTTTCACTTTGAATTATCAGATTTCTTATTACTTTGTGCAGTTTCTGATGAACCTTCTCTAGCTCCTTAAGAGAATGCAAACGACTTTGATCTTTAGCCCTTTGGAAAGAAGAAATTGTTGATGTATTTACTTGATTAAGGAAATTTAGGTACATCTTCGTACCAAGTGCCACTTGGAACGCAAGAACCACGGTATATTGTGGCTGGCAACACAATTCTGCCTTTACAATGGCTTGCACTCCTATTGGACCATATTTAATATGAATACAAAATTTTTATTTAGAAGGCAAACTCAAACAATTTGACCAAAGGGGACCAATGTTATTGCCCAAATTAGTCAAATAAACCTTTTTACTAAAATTCAAATTGTACTTAAAAAAGGTTGTGTGGAATGTGTGCAAATTTGCACACAAGCCTCCAAGGATCAAGAGGTAAAAAGACTGTTATCAATACCGTTTCAATGACAACTATTCTATGGCCATAAACTACTACCTATGCTAATCCTTCAATGGGCTACTTTAATTTTAATCCCTTGTTCAAGGTGGAAATATACGATTACCTTTCGCAAAAACCTCAAGTCACCGCAAACGACCAAGGGAATGATTTCAAATGAGCACAATCCTATTGACATGATTATGAATGATTGATCAAGGACAAAATTAGATATCATTCCTGATAAACTTCACCATATCCAGGTCAATGGAAACGTTGAAATTTGAAAATTACCAACCTATACTTATAGTCAAATGCTCCATAAAAAAAAAAGTATGAAACATATCATCAAATGTTTTTAAGAATAATTCGACTATTCCAATGTTAGACGATGAACACATAACTAAAACCAACACAAGTCTATCATAAATAACTCCAAGACCATGGAAATAAATTAAACAAGAGGAGGCCAAATTAATTTGCACAAAGAAAATAGGGCAAACTTCACTTTAACGCTTGTGGTATACCCCAAATGCAAACCTCCCACACTACCATGGCTGCCACACTAAAGCCACCATCTCCAACCGCCCCATAAAGCACCAATACAATCAAACCATGAAAATCACCAACAAGATTCAAATAAACAATACTGCCACATTAAAAAATCAAAAACCAAAAATTAAAATCTACTTAGATCCAAATCAAAGTCAAACAACATCTACCTTGGCAGGTCTAAGCAAATTTATAAGGGGCATTACCAATGCTGAATACATAGAAGTCTAGGCGGCTTTTGTTGCAGTCAAAACTGCTTTGGGTATGGGATATCAAAATATTGTCTTGGAGGGTGATTCAAAATCTACAATTGATCTTATACAGAGGAGGCAAGGTGATCTCTCAGATGTTGGTCACTTTCAGCAAAAGATCTCTGCCTTAATTGGGAATTTTTGTAACTTTGATAGCTCTTGGATCCATAGCGCAGGTAACAGAGTAGCCCATAGATTGACAAAATTTGCTGAAAATATAACAGATTGTGCAGTATGGAGAGGAGTGAGTCCTGACTTTTTGAGTGTTCCACTTCAATATGATTTATAGATTTCTTAATATAATGAAGATGACCGTTTCATATATAAAAAAAAAATCAACCAGTACCCAAACACCACCAACACTTCTCATGAACAATTTGAATCAAACTCAAAATTCCATTGCTAATCAAACATAAGGTCACTGCCAAACCCAATCCCCAAATCGATTACAAAGGCTCATTCAACTTGTGCCAAAATCAAATCAAATCTGAATCAAATTGAATGAAACTTATATCCATACCTAGTGAGGCTTATCACGAAAGAAACAAAAAATGGTGGAAATGGTGAACTCACTTCATGTCCTTTGGTTAATTAAAACCAAAACTCAGGTCATCTTTTCTTGGCAGACTAACGTAAATCAAAACTAAGTCCATAGCAAATGAGGCATATAGAAGTTTTTCATTATAATCCACCCAATGATGGTCAAAATTGCTTGGGTTACACCAGTGTTTTGAAAAGCTCGCCTAGGCGAGAAGCGAGGCGAGGCGAGCTTATCTCGCCTGGAGGGACCCAGGCGAAGCGAACGTGAGCGAAGCGAGAAAAAAGCGAAAAAGCGAAGAAGCGAAAAAAGCGAAAAAGCGAACGCCTTATTATAAAAAGCGATTCTGCTTCACTTTTTTTTTTTTTTTTTTTTTTTCTGATTACAGGTTAGTAGTCTCTTTTATTTTTTAATCACTATGACTTTTTTTTTAGACTATTGCTGGTCTATTTTTTTTTTTTTTTCTAATAAACAATGTTTCGAACAAAACACATTCCTTTTTTTTCCTTGTGTTGCTGAATTCATTTAGAATATTTGTGGGATGTGGGAGTCAGGCGACTACACTGCATGACAATTATGATAAAAAAATAAAGCAGGAGTATCAAAAATGGGGGTAAATAATAAATTCTTCTACAAAGAAGTGTCTCTGATATGTCTTGGTTATACTTTTCTCTTTTCTTATATATATACAAATGGTACCAAAAAGTGGTCTATGTTTATACCATGTTTAATTATTTTAGTACATGTGAAATGTGCCTCTGTTCTGCTTTTTTTTATTCAGTATATAATTACATATGAAATTGTTTACAATTGATTCTGCTCCTGTCATGATCATTGTGCTTCTGTTTTTTTTTAGCTCATTCTGCTTCTATTTTTTTTTTTGTTGATTCTGTTGCTGCTTCGATTTTGCTGTCCTGTGTTGCTTTTGTTTTTTTTTAATTGTCATTCTGCTTCTTTTTTTTTTTGTTGCTAATTCTGTTGTTGTCCTGATTCTGCTTCTTTTGTTGTCCTACCCTGTCAATATGAAAATGTATACAATTGTTAGTATTTGTTTGAATTTAAATGTTTAAATTATGACTGTTATTAAGATTTGAGATATTATTAGTGTTTTTTTTAATTTAAATGTTTATGGTTTTACTTGCATTTAAATATTTAGTATATATAAAATTAGAACTTAGATTGTTTAGAAGTAATTAAACTAAAATATATATTTTTTTTAACTGTTCGCTTTGCTTCGGTAAAGCGTGTCGCTTCGCTTCTCGCTTCTCGCTTCTCGCCTAGGCGTTAGGAGCCTTGGTCGCTTCGGTTCGCTTTACGCCTTAAATAACACTGGGTTACACACAGTTTTAGTTCAGAGTTTAGAACAACAGAAGATAAAAGCTGATGATATGTTATGCAAATTGAAAAATCTTATGGGGATTTTTTGTCTCTAAAAATAATTTTACACATATCATACCTTCAATTAACTTTGACGGAAATACTCATGGTGCATTTTAGTTCATAAACCACATGAAGATTATGTCGACATTTTTAAATATCATAGAGGTTATGTGCAGAGTAAAGTGAAGTTTGCTTAAAAAAATATATAGGACCATAAATGATATTAAGCACATATTAATAAAAAAACATAAACTAGAAAAGTTTGTTATAATGTAAAAGGACAAACAAATGATGGAATTATCATGTCTACGAGTTCTACAAATCCTTAAAAAAGTGAGTTATGAATAAGATAATGTGAAGTTCTATTTAGTGAACACGTTTAGATTGTGGAGTTTGGGGGTAAAATTGAAAAGTAGGGTGTTTGTGGTTATTTACTGGTGCAATATTGGAGGGATCTGATATGAAGTGGGTTTGGAGGGTATTTTACTGCGTTTAGATTAATTAAGGGCTTAATTTAACATAATTATTATATTTTCACTATTCACTTTTCAATTTTTCCTATGAAGCATTGATCAAGGAAAACAAAAATCATAATACAAAATAATTCACATGCAACACACGTGTGCATCTAGCGCGATCATAGAAGTTTCACCCCATAATCTTAGGTGGATACTTTTTATGTGAGGCGATAGATCATGATCTAACGCTCACTTATCAAAGAAACCAAAAATCAAATATCAAGACCTACTAGATTTAGCATTTTACTAAATAGGAAGTTTCAATGACATATTAATTGGGATTCTAACCTTATTAGAAAAGTGTATTCATTTGTTTTCAAACCAAATATTTTAAAAACAGAAAAAATATATTTTTGACCCTCATCAATTGGATCAAGTCAGATCGGATTTATATAACCTATCGGATTTATTATTACCATTTGGGATAAAAAAGATAAAATTCTTCTTATATGTGATCTCACATAGCCATCTATATTCGATATTTGTTGCACATATATTTATTTTATGGTTTTATTTTAGTTTTTGTTATTGTAAATAAAGTTACTATGAATATCTTAAACATATTAATGTTTTCCCATGAAGCCATGAATAATCTCTAGTTGCAAACTCGCCCAAATTTGAACTCCTTGCAACCCAAACTAATATTTATAATTTTTTAGTTTGGTTATTGTGTGATTCCTTATATTGTAATTCATGATAGCTCTTACAAAGACAATGCCAAACCGTATTTGAATTTTGAAAAGAAGTATTTGCCTACTTCCTACACAGATCAAGTTTATGACCAATGGCTCAATCTTAGACAACATTTTCTAATGTCTCTGATTCCTTTGCCCAATTCGATTATCTCATGTACTTGTGTGACATTGTTGAAGAACCTTGGACAATTGATCAATTTATTTTTGGGTTAAGACAAAAAATTAGTAAAGAGGTCAAGTTATACACTTTTAATACGTTAGTTGCAGCCTATCAATATGCTCTAAAGGTTAAGAGATTTCATAAGAAATCTAACTATAACTTGATAAGTTCTCAATCACAATCTGCTAAACAGAGTGGCAGGACACCTTTCAATTTTAATTTCACCACATATGAGTATCATGATTACTTGAATGATGTCCATGTTATTTCTGCATATTTTCCTAATTTCAGGGTGACCATGGATTTGGATGACACACTCTTACATACAAAAAAGATGTTACTCATGTCGACTACCAATCCCCTTTTTCGGTTTCATCAGATCAGAGCTCTCCTCCTTTATACCAACAAAAGTCGATACCTGAAGAAAGTGAATTTGAGCATTTATCGGAGTGAAATGTTGAGTCACCACTTGTAATGGAACTTGCTCAAAATTCTATCGAGTCCACACTTATTAAAGATATCAAACATATTGAGTTACCTATTTCATAATCTTTTGGTGATTGTTTTGTGTCCCCTATTTCAAGTCAATCTAACTTTGTTCCCAAGTCTTTCTCTTCTGAAATAGTTGACTTTATTCCTACTATCAAGATTTTACTTGAGTTGTTACTTAATTATTTTCACCACTATGGCGTTATTGTTACTCCTTTGTCATCGA